ACTTATTTTAAATAAGAATCCTATAGTAAATATTACTAAAGATAAATTTATATAATAAGGTTTGTATCATAAGTCAGTAGAACTTACGTCACTTATACTAGTTATAATGTATAAACCATCTAAACTTGTACTACCTGAGTTGGCATATATTAAACCTGTACCTAATAAATGAACTGGAGAAGTATCCCTGTTACCGCAATACTCCCCCTTTCCCGAACCGTACGTGATAGTTTCCCATCATACGGCTCTCCAGACCTGGCATTAAATTTGTTTGTGAATGATTAATTTTTACTATGGTGTTCCATATGACATTTTCTACAAAGAGGAATTTGCTTACGGTTCTTACGAACCATGATTTTATCTATCGCGCTGATTCTTGGATTTAGGTCCTTCATCATACGAACATGATGCATCTCGACTCTGTAGTCTGAGTCGCAGATTGAGCAATTAAGGCCTTATAATGAGGCTTTAGATATACCTTTAGCGTTAAATTTTTGGGATAAATCCCCCGTCTTAACGTTGAACGCCGCGGTGTTTATTCCTAGGGTTATCTTTGCAAAACTGTGATTGTCTTTACCCTTAAAGTCCTTCCCATAAGCGGCATATACTTTGGCTTGTGATCCTGATTTAAATTTGGCAGCTAGAAGTCTAGCACATGATTCTTTAAGAACGTAGTGCACCTTAGCTGATAATCTATTGAAGTTGTCCGCAAAACGGTAATATTGGGTGATCCTTCTATATACCGAATTATATAGTAATATTATAGCATCTTTGGATTCGCTCATTCATACGAATTTAGGGTATGGTCTCCCATTCTCCATGAATCCATTATTAGCTAGTTTTTTAGTGACCTTGTCTATCGGTGCTGTAAGTCTCAGGTTCTTAACATTTCTGCTAGGTACTCCTCGTCTCAAAGCATAAGTCTCGTGGATACTCCTCTTAATTCTTACCGATAGGAATTCAGCGTGCTCTGATTTTGCATTGGTGATTCTAGTCTTCGTCTCCGAGAGTTCTAGACCCAATCTTTCTTTCAAGAACACCCTTATTTTATTCGTTAAGTTTTCACATTCCGCTTTTGATCCTCTTACACCTATTATTCAGTCATCAGCGTATCTAACGTATTCCAGTTTTTTGAATTTAGGATCTAAATCTAGTTTAGATGGGATTTTAAGGATTTGTTTATGCAAAGTTAATTTTTCTTCCACGCTTTTAGCTCTCTCTTTTCTTCTAGACAAATTTTTGTATAGAGGGTTTATAGTAGCTTTTGTTCCCACGTCAAATTTTTCCTTTAGCTCTTCGACAAAGTCGTCTAACTGATCTAGGAATATATTCACTAATAATGGGCTTACTATGGAACCTTGAGGAGTTCCTGCTATGGAGTGAGAATAAGTTCTGAATTCCATGTACCCTGCTTTCAATGCTTTACGTATTAGATCTAAGAATCTTTGATCCTTAATTCTTTCGCTCAGAATATTCATAAGCTTAGTGTGGTCAATGGCGTCGAAACATTTGGAGATGTCTCCCTCTATGAACCACTTCGCCATAACAAATCTTTGTCTGACACTTCTCAATGCCGTATGACAGCTTCTGTTAGGTCTAAACCCATGACTATTTTCATTGAATGTTGGTTCATAGATAGCCTCTAGAATCATTCTGATGCATTCCTGTACTAGTTTATCTCTTGGAGGAGCTATAGTCAACGGGCGCTGTCCTCCATTCGCCTTCGGGATTCTTCCTGGTTGGAATTTGAATGTACCGTCTTTCAGGCTATTAATAATATCTTTGATCACATCTTCCGATAAACCATCCAGTGTGGTAGGTACTATACCTGGAGTCATGTTACCCGGCTTACTTTTTAATTTATGGTACGCTGCATAATATAGGTTTTTGTCATATAGTAGTTTGTATAGTTTATCATTCACAATGAAATCCTTGTTTTCGTTACAAAGATTATAAATTTTCTGTAGTTTGCTAAAACCGTCAGTTGAAACTGTACTGGAACCTCCAGCGATATTAGAGTAGCTACAGACGCTAGATCCTGGAGCCCTTCCCGTTACCGGTACTATGACTCCTCTGTTACCTTGGCCCTTTAGGGCTGTAGGCAATCCCGTAGTTCCTAATCTTACTTTTAATCCGTCCTTAGAGCCCCAACTCTTTACGTTATGAGTACATATTGTACCCGGGTTGTTTTGATCCATTATGTGATTCTTCATTTCCAAACCACACACAAAAACACATATCCTATATCAGTCGAGATACGATCCTCTTGAAGAGATACCTAGTAAATTGGGTTCAGGCAGTATAGCTTTGCTCATAGACGGCTCGACTCGATGGGCCACTAGACCTAACTGATTCGGTCCTTTCCCACCTTTAAACAGAGATGCTAAGTTCAGCGTCGGGCTTCCCCCTACACCTAACTCTGTCGTCGGAGTTATATATGGATAATAACTAAGTCTTGAAGACTCATAGTAAGAATAGACGCTACGGCGCACAATGAAACAAGAACTTAATCCACCTAATAAGAAGTATATTAAACCCCCTGTAGTTGATAATTCTGAATTTCTGTATACAGTACTTAATATATATAAACCGTAACTTTGTAATTCAATAGCTAAGAAGATAGATACTAAGTCATTAGTTGACATTAAGAATACTGCACCTGTAATAATAAATAATAAAATTAACGTGGTAACTGGATTTATCATACAAATTCTAAATAATTAACTTTGAACTTTACAACTTTAAATTAGTGCGATGCATACTACGTCAGCCAGAAGTATACCTAGCCTCCATATCCCTGCTTTGCTTCTTAGTTTTTACTTTAAGAAGTAAAAACAGGGATCAGTGCGCAAGCTACTCCCCACCTTTAGTAGCTTGCTATGAAATAACTAACTCATACATGCGGAGCTACTAATCGATGATATGGTTAATTAAATTAACCTTACAATTATCTATTATACATTGCATCTTTTATAGCTTTTATTAATACAATTCCTTCTGAAGTTAAGTGCACTTTATTTTCGATTAAAAGAGACACTTTTTTATATCTTTCGAAGTCTAATAACTTTACCCCTGAAAGAGTATATTTTGATAAGAAAGGTATTAATTTTAGGTTAACGTCCGCTGATTTAGTTATAACTAATTCAGCTATTTCACGATCATTAGGTTTTCTAACTCTACCACACGCCAAGTATTTTGCAATTAACTCTAGTAAATCTAGATCTTTAATGTGTTGACTTAAACTAAATATTAGACTTATTGCATATCCGGCTTTTCTTTCCTTATTAGGATAGAGAGAAATAAAGAAAGACCCTTCTGCTGTTATAAATCCTGATAACCAATGAGGATTTAAGTTAGGGGATATCTTTAACTCCGGTACAGTAGCATGATTTATATCCGGATATTCTGTTTTTACTATATCCGGTAGTCCTTTGTTTAAAATAGCTCTTCAGGAGAAGATTTTTAATATACCAGGTAAGGTATTATGTTCCCCCTTTTCCATAAGAAGAACTATCTTTTTAAACACTAAATAATCTTTTAATTTAAGAGAAATTAAAGGATACTTGTCAAAATGAGGTAGGATATATTTTATTATATCTTTTGTTGAACCTACAGTATAATAAATTATACCTCTTTTACTAGTATAGATTTTTCCTGACTTGAAAAAAGTTTTAATTTGAACTAAAAGATCTAAATCTTTTGAATCTAACCCTATACTAAATATAGGTTGAATCTTTCACCCTATACCTGATTTTTTTTTAGCTATAGATACAGAAAATGAACCATCTCCGTCTGTAAACCCTGTTACAAATCAAGGGTTTAAACTAAAACTATCTACGTTATTAGTATATAATTCAGATTTAAGGCTAGCTTGCGCATGCAAGCTAAAGCTCTGATTTTTTGTACAGCTGCGTAAGCTAAAGCTAAAGCTATCTTTAGTTGTTGAATATAGTTGTTTATTTAGAATTTGGTTAGAAGGGATTCCAGCTCAGGTAATTCTTTCGAACCCTCTTAGAGTATACCTTAACATAGGACGAGTTATTCACCCTATGCAACTACCGTCTACTCGTTGCTCTTTTACAAATAAAGTGTTATCTATATTTGACTTAGATCCGCGATTACCCATTCCTTTTTCAAGAATCTTTTGGCTTATTACCATACATGAGTAATTAATTCATCCACCATGGTAAAATTCAACCAGATTTGGTATCAAAAGCTTTAGGGCTTCCCCGGAATTTGGCAGTTTTCCCCTTTTAAATATTCAGCTTCCCAAGCTGTTGTTAGGGTATTCTATTATTTTAAGATGTTCTCCCATTTTATTTATTATTTTTGTATTATAATAGACAAAATTATTGAAAATTAAATCTTTTATAGATGAATATTCTGGCACTCAAGCTTTTCTAGGATAGAAGCTAGTTAATGTTAATATTAATATGCTTACTAAAAATAAGAAAATATGGAATATTTGTGTTATATTTGTTACCAATAACAAACCCCCATGTAGAGCTATACCTTTAGTAACTACACTTAAAGAGGCTATATCATTTAAGATACAATATGTTAATATAATCATAGCTATTCTATTATATAGAATAGAGATATCACGTCTTAAATTAACGGCATTAGAAAGTAAAAGAGATATAATAGATATAATTATCATGGCTTAAATTAATGAAAAATCTTTAGCTATAATTAACTGTAAGGTGTATAAGATAGCTTTATTACCTCCTTTTGTGCGATGCTACGCATCCTTATCCCCTGGGGGATAGGATACAGAAGTATGCAAGAGAGTACTGTATATTTTTTTTTGTAGCGTGCTTCGCGAGTAAATTTATAGCTTTATCCTATCCCCCCTGGGGATAGGATAAAGCTATAAATTTTCTAGGATGCGCAAGCTAGGATATGCAGTACTACTAAAAATATGTATGAGAAGAATTCTCATAATAAAGCTAATTATTATCTTACCACACCTTACTACTAATAAATAGTATAATTTAGCTAGCCTGGAAAAAGAATCGAACTTTTATTACCAACATATGAGGTCGGAGTTTTAACCGTTAAACTACCCAAGCTTAAACATATTAAATTTAGAGTAACTTTAACTTGCTAACCCTATCTATGTTTTAAGTAGAAGGGTGGATACTTGGACTCGAACCAAGAACTTACTGTGCCACATACAGTTGCTCTACCTATTGAACTATAACCACCTTTTTTTATCCTTCCGGATTTTTTTTTGTAGCTAAAGCTATCCTGTACGAAGTAGCAAGCTAGCCACCTTATTTTTTTATCTATGCTTAGCTAAAGATATGCAAGCTAAAGCAACTAAAAAAAAAGAAATAAAGACTAAATTAAAAGAGATATTTTAGGACTTTCATGCATCTTTTTTTTTATTAAACACTTAAGAATATTTATATTAATCCTAATCATAATGCGCAAGCTATAAATTGCAGATTAAAATGCCTATAAAACTCTACAACTCTCTAATTACATTAAAACTAGCTTATCTTGAACTGGTTACTAATTTAGTCGCTTACTACTTCCTTGCATATTTTGGTATTGTATATCCTTAGTGAATTTTTTTTTTTTATTAATGCGCAAGCTATAAAATTCACTAAGGGTTATTTCATAGCGAGCTAGGGTTATTTCATAGCGAGCTAGGGGATAAAGATAAAGCTATAAATTTACTCTTGCTTCGCATCTTAGTTTTTACTTCTTCACATTGTGCGTAAGCTATTTAAGAAGTAAAAACTAGCTTCGCTAAAAAAAAAACTAAGAAGCGTACGAAGTTATGCATTGCAGCATGGCAAGGCATGGGAGGAAATGGCTGGCTTGATGATTAATAATTAGAATTGTGTATTATATTTCTACTTGGTTAATTATTAGATTTGGTTTAATCTTTTTACAATTCTTGTAATAGTGTAATTCCCCTAGATTAGCTAAGACTTCATCAATATCTAAATTAAATTTATCAACTAAATATCACTCTGATTTTAGACTTAATCCTTCATCATTATCACTAATCTTTACATGATATCTAACTTTTTTTGGTTTTAACTTAGAAGTGTGAGATATATTTAAAGAATTATCGCGTAAAGTTATATTGTTAATTGAAATATGTTTTAAATTATTTAATAAAGGATTATAATGGTAAATTAAAGATTGTTCCATCATCTTTCCTATTAACTCAGTATAATAGGTTAAGATTGAATGTTCTAGTAAACTCAATATGTAATCAGGATGTTTTGATGTGAATTCTATCAAAAAATTTTTATAAAGACAAATAGGACCCATACTTATATTGAAATTTCGCTTGTTTTTAATACAAGAGATTAGATAAAAATCTAAAGGAGTACCTGCGAAGTCTAACCGTCTTTCAACCTCTATATCTTGTAGACTCTCATCAGGGAAGGACGCAATCCTTGATTGTAAGTAGAAACTACATCTTTCTTTAAAATAAGAATAGCTGTCTAAGTGATATTTTTTGATTTTAGATACGTGGGAATTAAGTCTATTGTATATATCCTTACTATAACCTATGTAGTAATATAAAGAATTTTCAGAATAAATTACATAACAACCACACCAGTCTTCATGTGGTTTTTTTTCTGTCTCATCAATGACTAGAATATTATCTTTATAAAACCTTCCATGTAAAGATCGGTGAATTTTGTCCAATATAAATATATTAGAACGAAAGGACGTAAAATCTATACTATTAAAACTCTTGTTTGTATAATACATATTATCATCGTCGCCGATAATAATTTTTTTTTTGTAAAAAGTTTCTTTCGGTTTAACTGTGTTTAATATATTAGTACCATCCGAACCTAATCTTGCTGTTATAATGAATTCTTCCTGTAACCCCTCTAAAATAAATCTTTTTACTAAACTATTACAAGATAGTTTATTTAAATATCTATCAGCATTCTGCATACTATATAACAAAAGCTTAGTTATATATAAAGGGGGTAAAATATTTCTACCTGTCCCTGTCTGTTTAAAAGGGGTTAAAGCATTATATTTCTTGCTTAGCAGAAAATCCTTATTAAGAGATATTCCTTCATTGTTTAGACAATCTTCTGAAACTAAAATATCTCCGATATAAGGGGGGTTGTGGCTAGTAGTATAAAATCGAACAGGAGGTTGAGGACCGTTTATAGTGTTTACCCCCCTAAGATGACGAGATCTCAGAGAAAACTGGATCTTATAACTGTGTATGTAACGAGTGTATGAAGAATTACCACCCTCCTTGCATAACAAGGGTGTTTTAGGTGTCAAAACTATTAGAGATAAGTCAGGTTTGAGATAGGGTACCAATTGATAAGAGAAAGATCTGTCAATAACAATAGGAGATGTGTCAATTCATTTGCCATTAGAACAAACTTTATATCGTTTTTTGTAATCAAGATTTAATTTTATATCCGTTTTAGTTTCAATATTAACATACCCCTTAGCCAAGTTCTTTTTAGAGCTAACTTTAGTACCTAAATCAAACCTTCCTTGATTATACATTTTTATATAATCATTATATTCTAATTTTCCACTTAAAATACCTTTAGCCTTTTTAATTCTAGAACTTTCTTTACCATCTCAATTTTTAGGCTTTATAGCATAAACTTTATCATCTAAGAAATAACCTTTCACACCAAGATAACTGGGATAAAAAGCAGGAATATTAACCCTAAAAGCCTGGGGAGATGAATAATCCAAAAGAGTTACACTGTTTATAGGCTGTGCTAGCCTTATATTTGTTCGTTTGTAAAAATTAATCATGTTATTAATATATATATTTAAATCTTCCTCTTAGTCCATTAAAGTTTATTTACCGACTTTAGACTAACAACTTTTTTTTGTTGTTGTTAGGGATGCCAACTTTAAACATCTAAGAAAAGTCGGGGTTATGTATCCTTATCCCTATCCCTAGCTTGCGCATGGGATAGGGTGCGTTATCCTTTTTTTATTGCACAATTCACTAAGGATATAGCAAGCTAAGGATACAGAAGTATGCAAGAGCTTGCGCATTAGTGTAGTAAAAACTAGCTTCGCTTATTGCGCAAGCTATAGTTATTTTTTTTTTATTGTGCAGCTTGCTAGCTGATCCATATCCCTATGGGGATTATTGCTAATCCGTGCTTCGCGAGTAAATTTTTTTTTTTATTAATGCGTTATTTTTTTTTTTAATAAAATGCGCAAGCTATAAATTTACTATAAAATAACTATTGCTTGCTATGAAATAAAATAACCCTAGTGAATTTTTTTTTTATTAAAAAAAAATAACCTGGGGATAGGATAAAGCTATAGTTATTTTTTTTATTATTACATAATGCGCAAGTTATAAATTTACTAGGATAAAGCTATAAATTTACTATAAATAACTACTTCTGGCTGACGTAGTATGCCCACTGCGAGTTAAAGCTAGGGTTATTGATCCTTATCCCTATCCCTAGCTTGCGCATGGGATAGGGTGCGCAAGCTAAGGATATAGCAAGCTAGGATATGCAAGGATTAGCATACTACGTCAGCCAGAAGTAGCTTGCCCATACATTTAAACGCCATGTTATAAAGTCATTAAAATACAAAACTAGTATCATAAACACCTATATAATTTATATAATAAATCGAGATATAACACTAGATAAATTATATAACATAATTCTAATATAAAAAGTATTATTAACATCATACAATAATCTAATTTAAACAATAAATAGCTAGAATATTTATACTAATACCTCCTAAACATATAATTAATAATATAGATATATTTCATATTAAATAATATCTTTGTAATTTATTACGTAACTTAAAAAAAGCATATAAAGATGGATATTTATGCAAGCAGAGCTTGCGCCCTAAATCTAAATATTTTATAATTTCATTACTAAAAACCACTATTAATATGTTAAAAAGAGTTAACAAAATAACAGAAAATAATAATACATGTAATAAAGATGCTACTTCTAAAAGAGTCATACTATCTAAATAGTTGTATATATCTTTTAAATTAGAGATAAAATTATGACCACCTCCTTTACTATTATTAAATCCGTCTAAGAACTTATTAATCTTCTCAGTAACAGAAAGCATATCTTTAACATGATTTTCTAGATTCTGTTTATCATTAAAATTAATATTAGAACATTTATTTAAAGAATCTAAAACATCCTTACCTTTCTCATTAGCAGTCTTTAATTGTTCATTTAAAAAAGATATATTATCTTCAGTGCTGCGCAAGCTAAAGCTATCCTTGTTTTCATTTAAAGAATCCTTCTTAGAATCAATATTAAAACAATTATCTTTTAATTGTTTAATATTATTAGCCATTTCATCAAGCTTAGCATCTCTATTTACCTGAATTTTATTTTCCTCTAAATTCTCTTTATAGTCTAACAATTTACTAGCGTAATGATGTGATACTATACCTGAGGCAAACAACCCCAAATTATACATTTGTTTAAAAACATTTTTCATTAAAACATAATATATTAAAAAAAAAACAATACTAGTATGTAATTAAACCTAAAATAAAATCAAATAAAATCAAATCTAATTAAATAGTATACTAGATAAATACAAAATTAAATACAAGAGTCAAAGGGTGGTAGCTAAGCAAAGTTAACCATAGGTTAGCTTAGCACAGGATAGTAATTCTTAATTTAGTAGCTTGCGCACTAAATTAAGAATTACTAATAACAAGACGTATTTCCAGTATGATAAAAAAATGCAGATATAATAAGTAATCAATGAAACAACATATTATACCTATTACTGTCCTACAATGAAAGATGGATGCGCTAGCTAGTCAATTTATAGCTTGCTAGCCCTTTAACTATAATAAATTCTAGCCCAGCTTGCGCTACAAATCTTTACTTAATATATCTTTTAATGAATTATAGACAGGTGTGCATATTTTTGTATTGTAGTCGCTTGCTGATCCCTAGTAAATTTTTATAGCTTTAGTAAATTTTTTTTATTGCTGCGTTATTTTTTTATAGCTTGCGCATATAGAAAAAAATATACTAAAGCTATATAAAATTTATAGGCCTAGCTAGCTACCATCTAACATTTAGGACTTATGCCGAGGTGATTCGAACACCTACTTATAAATACCAAAAATTTATGTCCTACCTATTAGACTACGGCATATTCTACTACAATAGTAGTATAATACATGAATATTTTGTGCTTACGAAGTACGCATACTACGTCAGTATGCACACAGCAAGCTAGGGTTATGGATCCTTATCCCAGGGGTTATGTATCCTTATCCCTATCCCTAGCTTGCGCATGGGATAGGGTGCGTTATCCTTTTTTTATTGCACAATTCACTAAGGATATAGCAAGCTAAGGATATAGCAAGCTAAGAAGCTTGCCTACCATTTTTAATATAACCACTATAAACAACTGAGAATTTTACAATCCCTACACTGTTTACTGTCTTAGGCTATCTTTATTAAATTATTTTACTAATCCACTATATGCATATTTTTGTATTGTTGTCGCTTGCTGATCCTAGCTCTTTATTTTTATAGTAAATTTTTTTATATAGAATAACGCAAGCTATAAAAATAAAGAGCTAGGATATCAAAAAAAGCAAGCTAAAGCTAGTCATAATACTCTTGAGATTATTTTACTTTATACTTATAGGTAGCAAGACTTGAACTTGCACGGTTATTAACCCTTCCGACCTAAACGGAACTTGTCTTCCATTCCAACATACCCATTTGTAGTAGTAGTTAATAATTATTTTGTGTAGGCTAACCTAGCCTTTTTTGTATCCATGTGGCTGGCTGGCTACGCTGCAGACATAAAAAAAAAAATAGCAAGCTAATGCTACCTTTTATTTTTAGTTGCTTTAGTTATTTTTTTTTTATAAAAAAATTTACTAAGCTAGCTAAACACAAAAAATAATAGAAGGAGCTTGCATGTAGCTTTAGTCGCTTGTTTTTACTAGCTATATCCTAGCTACAAAACTAATGCGTTATTTTTTTATAGCTTGCGCATATATAAAAAAATTTACTAGCGCACAAAAAGCAGCCGGCTGCATACTTCTTATCCCTATACGAAGTAGTTATTTTTTTTTATTGCGCAAGCTACAAATTTACTACTTCTGGCGTAGCCCTGGGGTCAGAAATCGCTTTAGTATAAACGTTATTAACTTTTTTATCCATAATACTGTTAGAGTTTGCAGCTGTTACCTTATCAGCTTCAGCTATACAGTTCCAGTATAAATTCCTGCTTTAGGGTGTATATTTATAGCTTGCGCAGTACTTCCTTACTAAAGAGTGGATAATTTTAGTAGCTTACGCACGCATATTTTGAGTAATAATTTTGCTGTGTGCATACTACATCAGTATCCTAGTAAATTTTTATAGTTATTTTTTTTTGTTATGTGCGTTATTTTATAGTAAATTTTTTTTTTTATTAAAAAAAAAAATAACGCATTAATAAAAAAAAATTTTACTATAGCTTGCTAGCTCTAGCTGATCCTTTAGCTATAGTTATTTTTTTTTAATAAAATGCGCAAGCTATAAATTTACTAAGGATAAAGCTATAAATTTACTGATCCTTAGTAAATTTTTTTTATTGCAGCGTTATTTTTTTATAGCTTGCGCATATATAAAAAAATTTACTAAAGCTAAGAATAAAAAAAATAACACACCTCTGCTTATTTAGGGTTATTGCGCAAGCTATAGTGCAAAATCTCCAGCTCTGACACAACGTAGTAAGGTTTCTAACCTGAGTCTACGTATGTTTGTGACTTCACAGCTGGAACGTTATAAAGATACAAATGGAAAATATAATGCGATAATAAGAATACTAGCCGATGCTGGTTTCTTACTAGTATGTTATATGTTAATCAAGGGAAAACCTGGGAACATGAGTATGGGTACGTCAAAAGAGACTTTAGATGGTATCTCTCTCGAATGATTTAATTCTATTGCTTCAGATCTAAAGACTGGTAAATTCAAATTCACACCTGTACGTCGGGTTATGATACCTAAGCCAAATAGAAAGACCTTTGGGTGTAGGATCTCCCTGGGAAAAAATTGTGCAAAAGGGTAGCTTGCGCACAGATTATCCTAGAAGCTATTTATGAACCCACATTCCTAACTCACATGGTTTCTGACCGGATAGATCCACTCAAAGCGCTCTTAAACCTCTTCACTTGAAGGCACATCACTATACATGAGTTATCCTAGGTGATATTTCTAAATGTTTCGAGAAGATACCACACGAAGTTATAATGAAATTACTTCAAAATAATTTAGTGTGTACTTGTACACTAGATCTAGTTAAAAAAGCTTTAGTTGTAGGGTATTTAGATCCTAAAACCAAAAGATTAACAAAATCTGGTTATTTCATAGCAAGCTAGGACACCCCAAGGTAGCGTACTTAGTCCACTACTAGCTAACATCGTGTTACATGAGTTAGACAAATATTTAGTCAAAGATCTTATGCCCCTATATCATAGAGGGTGCGCAAGCTAAGAAGACGTACAAATCCTGTATATAATCAATTTACCCACATCAGACATACGAAAAGCGGGACAACTCTTGCTGAAAGAGACTACGCACTAAAGATGAAGACACCTAGAATGGATTCTAATGATCCAAACTTCCGAAGATCTATGTACATAAGATATGCAGACGATTTTGTTTACTTAATTGAAGGTCCTATTGCAGAAGCCTAGATTATAAAAGAGAAGATAAAACAGGCTCTTCATAAACTGACAGGTCTTGAACTTAACGAAGAGAAGACCCTTATCACTCATTTAAATGAAGGATTCAGTTTTCTTGGAGCTAACATAAATGGTTTAAGACTCGTAGGATATTTTATGAAGTATACTACCCCCTTTAGGTAGCAAGATATGTATGAGAGTAAACACTAGAGCTCGAATAAATATGCCTACATTGATCCAAAACGGATAGCTTGCTATGAAATAACGCACGCCGAAATAGTCTAGGAACTATACTAGCTAGACCTATAACTAATTTGGTTAACCTAGACCACTCCACTATAATTCAATTCTATTATTCAAAGATTTACGGATTACTAAATTATTATATCTTCCGGCAAATAGAATAGAACCCAAAACTTGATTTGAATCCTTAGATTGTCTCTGGCTAAGACCTTAGCTAGATAATTTAAATTGAGATCGGCTAGACTAGCGTTCAATAAATTCGCCCCTTATTTAGTGCAGCGTTATTTTTTTTATTGCGTTATTTTACTAGAGGGCAGTTCATTTAATGGCTGACCCTTACCTAACTAAAATATGTAAGTTTTATTCTTTTCCTAAGCAAGGTTGTTGATATCAACAACTATTAATAACAAAAAATTTTAATTTCTTTCTTTTTTTTTTCAGTTGTTATACTTAATAGTATAATAACTTTTTTTTTTCTGTTATAATAGAGCTTTAGCTTTAGCAGACTATCGGTGCATACATGCCTAGCGCAAGCTATATATTAAATTTTATATTATATATTTATACCTATGGATATCCATGTCATGGTTTGCTATTATTTTTTATAGCATGTGTTATTTTTTTATAGCTTGCGCATATATAAAAAAATTTACTATAAAAATAAAGAGCTACTCTGTAAATACATACCCGGGTATTTTAATACTTAATATAATGATGGGTATAAACCCGAAAAATTTTACATCTTTATAACTCTTTTTAGAACTTGCAGGATTCGAACCTACATCTCAATGATTAAAAGTCATACGCATTCACCATTATACTAAAGTTCCTTTATGCTCGAGGTAAGACTTGAACTTACAACAAAAATAGCTTCAATATTTCACTCTACCAATTGAGTTACAGGAGCTTGTTAAATACTAGGTATCTATCTTTTATTTATTTATTAAATTTTTTTAGTGCTGACGTAGTATGCAAGGCTTGCTGATCCCTAGTATATTTTTTTATAGCTTGCGCATATATCCTTAGTAAATTTATAGTAAATTTATAGTAAATTTTTTTATATATGCGCAAGCTATAAAAAAATAACGCAATATAGAATAAAAAAATAACGCATTATGTAATAACAATGCGCAAGCTATAAATAACTATAGCTTTATCCTTTAGTAATTTTTTTTTTATTAAAAAAAAAAAATTAACTATAGCTTGCTATGAAATAACATAACCCCTGGGTGCGCAAGCTAAAGGATTAGCAATAACCCTAAATAAGCTGGGTGCGTTATTTTTTTTTTTATTGCACAATTTACTAAGATTGCGCAAGCTAGGGATACTAACTAATGTAGATAATCCTACATTTAAAAATTATGTGGCTTCTTTATTACCTAAAATTACCATCTCCTCATTTAATACTGTGTCTAGAACTTTAACTTGAATAGATCTATTTATTGACATATTTAACTGGCTTTCATCCCTAGTGAATTTATAGTAAATTTTTTTATATATGCGCAAGCTATAAAAAAATAACGCATTATTAAAAAAAAAAATAACTATAGCTTTATCCGTATCCCTAGCTTGCTATAGCTTGCGCACATAATTCATAGCAAGCTAGGGGATATGGATCAGCAATAACCCTAGCTTTAGTAAATTTTTATAGCTTGCTATGAAATAACTACTTCTGGCTGACATAGTATGCCCACTGCATAGTGATAAGCTAGCTCGTGAAAAAAAAAAAAATTATGCCCTTGTTAACTATTTCGAATTTATGAGCCATGGTGTAAAAACCATTACAAGCTTCATTTATGAATTATAGATTGCAGTCCTTTGGGTCTTCATTTAACCCTTAATAGGTATAATAGAGTTATCTGACCTTTATTAATTTTAGTGACTAGCTTTAGCTTGCTTAGTTATTTTTTTTAATAATGCGTTATTTTTTTATAGCTTGCGCATATATAAAAAAATTTACTATAAATTTACTATAAATTTACTAAGCACACCTCTAAATTGAACTAATTATGTTTACTATATGGTCTAACTTCTACGTTCTGCTCTACCTATTGAGCTTCACGAGCTTATGGAGATATCAGGAGTCGATCCCAAATTAACGATATGCAAAATCGCAGTTTTACCAATTAAACTATATCCCCTTATATTACGATTTATTTTTTTTTCTGTCGCGCTGCTTTGCTGCAGCGCACAATAGCCATAGCTAGCTCTGCATAGTCCTTTTTTATGCGCAAGCTAAACATTTAGTAATAATGTACATTAATAAGCAAAGCTACTCTTCTAATTCTGCTGCTGTGCATATCCTAGCTCTTTAATTTTTAACTAAAGAGCTAGGATCAGCCAGAAGTATGATGCAAAGCTAGAAAATTACACACCTCTAGCTTCGCTGGTATTAATGTTTTATACTGACACAGATAAAGATTTAGGTATTGAAAGTGCATCTTCTTTATCGTACACACGTGACTAAAAAAGGCCAAACCTGTTTTAGCTATACGGATTTTTTCATTAGATATAAGACTATGTTTAGAGGCGTGCTGTGGGCATACTACGTCAGCCAGAAGTAGTTATTTCATAGCAAGCTATAAAAATTTACTAAAGCTAGCCTGCTAAAAGAGATCCTGCTAATTTAGTAGCTGCGCAAGTAAGCTCGTATTTTAACTTAAATCTAAAGTATCTAAATAAAATTGTTATCTTTCTAAGACAGAAGCAGTATCACACTATTCTAGTGCGCAAGCTACTAATTTTAAGTTTTCAGCTTGTTTTTACTTCTTAGTGTGCAGCTTCTATTTAAAATAAGCAGCCGTAAAAACTAAGAAGCAAAGGCAGCAAGCTAAAGCGAGCCATATTTCAATAAAGCTTTATATACAAGACTACAATTTATTTACAATTCTACTTCTAAGTATTATTTAGTAGCTGCTTAGTAAATTTTTATAGTTATTTTTTTTGTTATGTGCGTTATTTTATAGTAAATTTATAGCTTGCGCATTTTATTAAAAAAAAAAATAACGCATTAATAAAAAAAAAATTTTACTATAGCTTGCTAGCTGATCCGTGCTTCGCGAGTAAATTTATAGCTTTATCCTTAGCTTGCTATATCCTTAGCTTGCTATATCCTTAGTGAATTGTGCAATAAAAAAAGGATAACGCACCCTATCCCATGCGCAAGCTAGG